AAGGGGGGATGTGTGGGTGAGAATCATCCTCTAGACACAGCATCCTTTTCTATTGACCTTGGATGAAATGAAACGTTTCTCCGTGACAGCGTCGGTGCCTCCTCACCTGCTTCAGGAGGTCCAGCTCCTGCCTCACAGCCTCGTACTCCACCTCCAGGTCGTCGTACTGCTGCTTCAGCTGCTGCTTCTCCTCCAACACCACCAGACCATATTCCGCCGCCTGGATTTTTTCGCTGGTGGTTTCACTGAGCTCCCGGGCCAGACGCTCGATTTCGGCCCGCATCCACTCCGGCCCGGCCTCGAGCAGCAGCGCGGCGTCGGGATATCCCTGCTCTTCCACGGACATCCTCTCGGTTTAGCGACTGGTGGAGACGAGGAGGTGGGGTGTCTTCAAGCGGCGTAACCTTGAAGAAGAAGCGCTGCGCTCAATTTCGTCGGTATTTGAACTGCATAATTCCCCCGCCTGCTTTTCTCTGTACCGGCCCGGTGTTCTTAGTCATCAAGGTGCGGGGATTCGTTCTCTTCCGGCGGGGGAGCTCGCCTTTATTTCGCCTTAGCGCTCCATCGCAGGGCTCCTGGGCTTCCTCCTCTCCCTCTGCTTGTTGTCGTATGGTCGCAGCCGCAGCTGGAAAACCTGGAGCTGAGAGGAGCAGCAACCGGAAGTACGTCATCTGCTGCATACCTTCAAAATAAGGGCTGGGATATGAGGCCGTGTCAACGGATCCTCAAACGGGTGTGTTCATGTTTGATCATAATCACTCAGACATGTTCAGACAAGGTTCTCAGGCTTCTCTTTGTTGATTATTATATCATTATATCTCAGTCGAGTGTCGAGCTGATGTAACGAACGATCCAGACAGAAGACTTCGAAACGATGAAGACAAACTGGAGAGATTATTTGGACAGAATTTGAACAACGTCACACTACACTCACACAGACAGAAACATATATGTATGCTAGCAGTGCTAACATCTATGTATGCTAACAGTGCTAACATATGTATGCTAACAGTGCCGTGTACTCTGTTATAATGTATATAATATTATCGATCATGTCATCATTTTTATTCTAAGCGGTTTGATTCACATAAAATGGTTTCTGTAATAAAAGAGATTCTTTAGCAGGTTTTTATTTTTACAATCTAAATGTTTTTATTTTTTAAACCGATCCTCTTCCGGTCCAGACACCGGTCTGTTTGAAACAGCTGAACGGACGTTTGGTCGCAGTAAAACGTTCGTACGTGACCCGCTGATGTCGTCACAGCAGAGTTACTGTGCTTTGTGGACGTTGTAGTATTAGAGAGAAGACACAGCGCAGCGCTCGCCGCAAAAACAACTCATTTCCCACAATGCTTTGTTCCTGTGCTTATGTGGAGCACGGAAGTGCCCCGTAAGAGCTTTATTTATAGAAGTTGAACCAACATGCAGGTCATTGGTAGCACTTTCCACACGTGCAACTACTGCCACCTAAAGGACAAAAAGTATTACTACTTTTTAATCGAATCCGGACGTATCCAGCACACAAACTAAGGGTAATACCTTTTCTACGGAGCCCCTAAAGTGACAGAAGAGTGGGGGAAATATATAAAAACGTTTTTGGTGCAGAATGGTAACGGTAATCTGGCCCGTGTCCCGTCAGGGGCTCCGTACTTTTCAGACTAACGTGACGAACCACGTACGGCGGTTTATTGTGAGTATATAATTTTTTGAACATTTTAACAAATTAATTAATGACAATAAGCTACTGGTCTTCTTTCTAAACCGTCCCTCGTCTCTCGGACAGCGACACCTGTCCAGGTCTTTAGACACAATTCTCTGGGCTGTTTGTCCAAATCATTCTCTTCTATCAAAGTATTCGAACAAATAGATAGAATTCCCGATTCCTCCAACGTGTAAACATGTTCACGTTAAAACTATGAACACCTACATTTACACCTTCAGTAAATTTATGAAAACAAGTTCAAGTTTGTGGTAGAAAACTGATATATTTGTTAAACAGTCCACAAACATAGACTTTTGGTCCTTTTAAAACATTTAAATAGTGCTAATCATCAAGGATAAAATGGTACACCACATCCCCTCTTAAAAATGAACTCTGAAACTAATCAATAATCCTTCAAGGACCTTCATTTAAACCTAAACCTCCTTTACTTCATTAGTATGTATTTACCAGTCCTTATGATTTAATTTGTTTTTTTTTTGCGTCTTTCATCTGTACAACTGTTTAGTTGTGATGTATTATACACCTCGATCACGTCTCTTCAGTTTGTTTTTTCTGTTTTCTTTATATAAAGTCATTCTTCATACTGTCAAATTAGTTTCTTTGTAGAGTTTCATCATTGACTCACTCAAAAACAACCTTCTGTGATATAAATACTACGTTAACAAAGACTTTTTCTTTCTTTCCTGTGAAAAACATTAGTATCACTTTCGAATGAGTTAGCACCACCTGCCGGCCAGGGAGGGGACCAACATGAGCAATATTTAACAAAATACTGTACCATTTTACCGGCCAGACTTGCACAGTTAAAACCACCACGGTAGGCAGTGAAGTCTCATTTCAACTGTTTCAGACGCTGCTGTAGAAAAGACTCAGATGAACTGGTTCCATTTTAAAACATTTATTTAGAACAAAAAGTTTATTCGTTCTCCTCGCTCCTGAGCCTGGCGTTGGGGTTGGTGACCTTGATGGCCAGCTGAGCTGCCCTCTCAACAATCAGCTTCCTGTTCTTGGAGGAGACGTTGTGGGCGATTTCAGCACAGTGAGTCCTACAGGGGGCAGAAAGGAGGGTTCGATAGTCACTGACAAATGTCTTGACGTTGGTTTGAGAACGTTCACATGGTACTTAATTAAATCTGATGTTTAGTTTAGATCAACAGAACCATGGAAGATTCAGATCCAACTCCAACTACTCTCAGCATGATTAGTTCAGTTAACACACGTTTTTCTTTTTGTGAATAAAAACACTGATCTAGTGAAATGAATGAATGAAAAGAACAGGGCTAAACTAAACTTAAACTTAACTAAACTTATCTTTATTTGTCATTGTGACACAGTACAGCACAGCACACCATGCACAACGAAATTTAACCTCTGCATTTAACCCATCACCAAGTGAACAGTGGGCAGCCATGGTCGGCGCCCGGGGAGCAGTGCTTGAGGACGATGCCATGCTCAGTGCATCTCAGTGGCAACCTGGCAGTTGGTGGATTCGAACCTGGGGCCTTCCGGACCGAAGTCCGCTTCCTTTACCACTAGGCCACCACCGCCTAGCCTAAAATGAATGAATGAAAAGAACAGGGCTAAACTAAACTTAAACTTCACAGTGAGTCCTACAGGGGGCAGAAAGGAGGGTTCGATAGTCACTGACAAATGTCTTGACGTTGGTTTGAGAACGTTCACATGGTACTTAATTAAATCTGATGTTTAGTTTAGATCAACAGAACCATGGAAGATTCAGATCCAACTCCAACTACTCTCAGCATGATTAGTTCAGTTAACACACGTTTTTCTTTTTGTGAATAAAAACACTGATCTAGTGAAATGAATGAATGAAAAGAACAGGGCTATCAGAGTATTGCACCACCAGCAGGCTAGGACGGGAACTGCAAGGTCAATGTTTACAAACATTCCTATCAGGGCCAGTTTCATGTTCTATATGGGGTTCTACAGATGATGTGGAACCCGTCCTCGTTAACCCTGTCACGTCTCTAGGTGAGTGAGAAAAAAAAAAAATCCTTTCTTAATTAATTGACCTGCGTTATTACTTTGTTGGTTTTGTTAAACTACTAAATTACTTTTAAACATAAAGTAGATTAGATTTAGGACCAATTAAAATAACCCTAACCACTGATTGGCCAGGCCACCATTCATCTGTTCATCATAGAACCGTCTCTTTAAGAACAACGCTCATCTACTCCGTGATATCATCAGATTCTTAATCTTTGGATCAACTTAAAACTGAAACCATTTCAAACATTTTAACAGTATTTTCTAAAATCACTACAAACCCTAACCCAACTGGAATCATTTTGAAGTGCTGAGCTCACTGTGGTTGTTGACTTTCCTATAGAAATAATCCTTATTTCCTGTGGGGGCCACAAGTCTCCACCATGTGTCCTGACTGAAGAACGAACGTTCATTTTATTCACGAGTCTGCAGGAAGAAATGTTTAAATAAAGAACTCACTTGTTGCTCATCATCAGCACCTCAAGTTCCTTCACATTGTGAACCAGGAACTTCTTGAAGCCAGTTGGCAGCATGTACTTGGTCTTCTTGTTGCTACCATAACCAATGTTAGGCATCAACATCTGACCCTTGAACCTCCTGCGCACCCTGTTGTCAATACCTCTTGGTTTACGCCAGTTTTTCTGTGGAACAAACCAGAAACAATTAAAGTCACAATTAACTGCACTCATTAACAATAACAAAAGTTTTCCACAACTTACCGCGATTTTCACATATCGGTCCGATTGATGGCGAATGAACTTCTTGGTTCGCTTCTTTACAATCTTGGGTTTTGTAAGAGGCCTGATGGCTGCCATGGTTACTGAGTTACAACAGAAAGACAATTTACTTTACGTTAATGATAGCCTTTACTGAGCTGTGCTATGACAGGGTGATTGTTTGCTTCAAGGCAATTCATTTGATTAAAAAAAGTGTCACAAGTGAACAGACAAGTGTAATTCCCTTCACTTAAACCATAGTAACCGATTTAATGCAGATAGACGCGTCTTTACTGCAAACACCCGTGGATCGACACACGTGAACGTGGAGTCTTACAACAAACATGAGAACCTGCATCACCTAGCTGTCGGCTATCCTTTACCCTCTTATTAGCCAGTTAGCCACGAAGCTCAGCAGCCCAGATTTTGTTTTAAACTGAAGACTTTCATTTTAAACGACAAACGTCTAAATTGACTGTTGCTTTCTTCTTCTTAAGATTGTGAAATTGCCCCGATACACAACGTTTACTGAATACAAACGCCAACTTAGTCGGTCTGGACCTAGCAACTGCTTTAGCCACAGTGCCTCGCTGTACTGAGACTTTATACAGATGTTTACAGACAGACTATGTGCTCAATATCACCTCACATGTGTAAATAATGTGTCTGGTAAAGATCAACCACAACAAAATAGCCAGAGAAAGCTTCAAATAGTGAAGATTGTAATAGATTAGGTCAACTCACCGACCGATGAAAATCCAAAAAGGACCTCAACGATGCCGGAAGGAAAGAAAAGGACTTCCGGGTCCTTTGCAAAGCCTTTCGGGAGGAGTAGTTCTTCTTCGTATTCTAACCAGCTGAGAATTGGGACGAGTGCAAAGTGTCTAAAATAGTTCCCCCCCCCCACACACTAAACATAATAAATCAATATGTATGTTATAGAAGTAGTTATTTATTAATACAATAGTTTTATTGCGTTGAAAACACGGGGCACATCTGTACGACCGTAGTTTTTGTTTTTTCACCCCAGAGAATATTTCTGCGCACTTCCTGTACATTCGTATCGGGGGTTTTGGTGATGGGCAGTGGACTGGAACAGCAAAGAGGACAGAGCTGAAAACTGGAGACAACTTTTGGCCTCGATTCTTCAGGTCAGCTGACTTACAGGAGCTACGGAGTGTGATGAAATGTCAGTCATCATTCGTTGTCACATGATTGTTGTATTTGTGGGCGGCTTGATACCTGTGTGTAGATCACTGCGCATTTTCTAGATTTTAAACTCTTTTTCACCTTTGTCGTGTAGTGTCCTGTTGTAGGTGAATGGAACGTCAGCCCATCATGAAGTGAGTTGAATCAGTTTCTGGTTAAATGGCGGTTTTAAAAGTCGTTTTCAAACACCCGCTCTTAACTTTCGTTTCCCGTTACTTTCAGCCACCAGAACAGAAACTACGGGGTTGTCAACCCGGGCTTTGTCCCGACTGCTGAGGGAACGCCCGGTAAGTAACAATTGCACATGTTGTTAAATCTTGTCTTTTCTCCTTTAAACGATAAAAATCCAATTCGATGTTATATTTAGTGCCCGCGGTCCGCTGTACAGTGAACGCGCATACCACAAAGTGACGTCACTCCGTACGTGCAGGTAACGTGAGGTTGTTGACTTCGAGACAGCGGCAGGATCTACATTAACGACCAAAGTCCGGAGTTTTGGTCGATTAGTAAGAGCTTTATCCGCTGGTCGTTAAGTCTGGTTCAGATTCTCTCAGCATGGACACTGTTCACCCCGGCCAGGGTAAGTACTGGTACCAGCACTGGTACTCGGGTGTGGAGAGTACAGGACCAACGTGTTACCACTTGGTTACAGGGATTCAGTAGAAATCCTTTGATTTGCGCGGTGATTTAATTGTTTTTTTTTTGTTTTGTTTTTTCAGTCCATTTTGTGGTTAGTTTTTGAACTGTAACATTTGAAGGTGTTTCTGGGTTTGACTCAACTGGTTCTTCTGGTTGTCTTTCAGCCATGTTTGCTCCGCCCACCGCAGAAGGCCCCAGTGCTCCTCCGGCCAGCATGTTTGACAGCATGCCGGGGTATGAAGGCACCATCGCAGGAGGAGGTGAAGTACTGTTACTGCGTACTTCAGTACTTCAGTACTGACACTGTTGCTGCCTCACTGACAAACACACTGAGTAAACACTGGGCTGAGACTCTGATCTCCTGAACAGTCAGTGTCTGAACTGAACTGACAGCACATCGACAGGTAGCACCAACCAGGAGTTGAACATCACGTCTTTAACCACAGAGAAGGAGGTTGTACTTCTTCACCTCCCAACACTGGGGACTCTTCCTGCAGTCTTTAGACGTCTGTTGGGGACTCTTCCTGCAGTCTTTAGACGCCCACAGGGTCAGTCAACAGACTGACCCTGTGGGCTGCAGTCTGGGGGAGTCAAACCCCCCCCCCTCAAATAGGAAACAGGAAACAGCTTGTTACAGTGAGTGTTTCCTGACAGGCTGATCTCTCTAACCAGTCCGTTGTCAGGTTAAAGTCTCGACGATCGGACGTTTCACAACGACGTGTTTGTCCATCTGTCAGTTAAACGTCCGTTTCTCAGGTTTGTAGTGAAATCCTTCCTGGTTTGAAGCTCCTTCAGCAGCGGTGAAACCAGACACTCACCGTACAATAAGATTTGATCACGATTTTAACAAAATGGGCTCCAGACAAATTCAGACAGAGAGATATATTTATCACCAACTGAAATCATTCTCTTCAATAATAAAACAAATGAACATTTCTAAACAAACACTGCACATCATCATTGATCTCCTCTGAGGGAGGAAGGAAGGGGGGGGGGAGGAGTCACATCCCAGTGTGTTGGGATCTGAACCCAGATCTTAGTCCCCTTCACAGTCTTGGGCCCCTGGTGTAACTTCCTAGTTCTACTGTTGTTGTTGTTGTTGTTCTGGACTCAGTCACCGAGACAACCTGTCGTTTCACACCCGTCTAATCTCTGCTCCAGGTGGATTCCTCCCCCCCCCCATGCCTGCCCACCCACTCCCCGTGCCTGAGCCTGGACCTGAGCAGCCACACTGGACGTACGGCCTGGTTTATGTCCTGTTGAACACCATGACCCATGTAACCAGGTCTGACCTCATGACCTACTGTGTGCTCTTCTCTGACCACTGGCAGCATTCCGTCCATCAGTGAAGACACTGCGCGGGAGGCCTTTGTCCTGTTTGCGTCCAGCAAGTGCTGCTACAGTAAAGCACCGGCCAAGGACGGAGTCATCACCAACATGGAGGCCTTCAACACATACAGGGTGAGGTCTCACAGAGTGAGCGGTGAGCTCTGGGTCAGAGGTCAGGTCCTCCTGTGACAGTCGTGTGTTCAATGTTTCTCTCTAGTACCGTCTGGAAACCTTCAATGAAACCAGATCCACCGAGTGGAACCACGAGCCGTACAAAGGTGAGACGACCAGGCTTCAGGATTCACCTCCATGTATTAGTCAGGGCCAAAGTCCCAACAACAGGAACATCATTGTTGACCATCATCCGTCCATCATCCGTCCATCATCCGTCCATCAGTGATCTTTAGAACATGATCTTTATTTGAGAATCTGTGACAAAAAAGTTGCTGTGAGGTTTGACCTGATCAGTGCTCAGTCCCTTCAACAGTTCCACAGTCAGTGCTTCTCTCTGTTGTGTCATGTGACCCAGGTCAGCCAGTGGATGCCTACTCTCAGCCCCCCCCAGGGCCCTGGGATATTCCCACTAAAACGCCCACTTTTTTCGTGGATGACAAAGACATTGTGAAGGTGCCGTACACCTCCTCAGTGAAGGTGAGCCTCTGTTTAAACCTGTCTGACTAAAAACATCGATTTCTTCTTCTTTTCTTTCTAAATTTCACCCACATTCTGCCCCCAGAACTGCCACGCCTGCGTGGGGATGGGGCGGAAGCCCTGCAAAGACTGTGCTGGTGCTGGTAACGTAAGTCATGACCACAGGTCCAACTGATCACACTGACATCTTAACAGTGGACTGACTGATTCCGTGTCGGCTGCAGAAAGTCTGTTGGGTGTGCAACGGATCTGGGTATCGCCACGGAGACGACCGCTGTAACCACTGCAGCGGCCGAGGGAGGGAGAAGTGAGTAACTGAGCGCAGCAGGACTGGGTCCGTGTGTGAGGACGCTGAACCTGAACTGTATTTGTTCTGTTGGGTTTCAGCTGCAGCCACTGTCAGGGACAGGGTTCCAGAACATGTGAAGTGTGTCAAGGGAAACAACAGCTGTTGGTCTACATCCGCCTCACCGTCAAATGGTTAGTGCGGTGTCGTGTCACGTTCACTGACCTTCGGCGAATAAACGTTCAAGTCAAATTTCAACCCTTGAGTCTTTTTCCTCTCAGGACCGACAACACTGACAACTACGTTGTCGAGCAGCGGAGTGGACTGCAGGCCAACAACCTCAGCTCTGTGTCTGGGAAGGAGCTGTTCAGAGACACCCAATACATGGTAACGTCCTGCTGCCTGCTGGGGTGTACTGCAGCCCGCTGCACAGCTGATCGGAATATTTTAGTATTCAGTATAGTACTTATTAGACCGCTGTGGACTGCCTACAGGCTGCAGCCCTCCTGTTGAGAACCTCATTCTGTGATGTCAAATGTTGTGTGCAGGTGTATCCAGTGATTGGTTTCCCAGACCCTGCAGTGGTCGGTGCTGCCCAGCGCCTGGTCAGTGAACATCAGGCCAAGTACTCCCAGACGTCACGCATTCTTCAACAGGTACGCGGGCGTCAGAGGTTCTGGTCAGAGCAGCGTTTGTTGTGTTTCTCTAACACACTCTGGTCTCTGTTCTCAGCAGCGTTTGTTGTGTTTCTCTAACACGCTCTGTTCTCTGTCCCTGTCTCTGTTCTCTGTTCTCTGTTCTCTGTCTCTGTCTCTGTCCGCAGCGTCAGACCATCGAGCTGATCCCTGTCACCAAGGTGACGTACCTGTGGAAAGGAAAATCTCACATATACTTTGTTTATGGAAACGAGTTCAAAGTTCATGCAGATAACTATCCTGCCACCTGCTGTTGTTCTGTGATGTGATTGGATGGTTCAGTCAGAGGGACCCACGTGTTGAGAACCGTACAGTCACATTTCCATACAGTTCATTTTGGTTCAGTTTGTCTGTAATGACGGTCAGTTATACTGAGTGATTTTTATTCTACTAACACTTCAAAGATGAATGTCGTGTATTTTTATAGTATTTTCACAGAAACATTTAACACATGAAGTTCTGTCTGTTTTAATCATCGTTATTGTCCTCACCAGGACATAACAACACAGTATGTCAATAAAGTCACATTATTAGGTCGCAGGTTCAAATCCACCGGCCACCAGGGGGCTCCCCCGAGGGGCTCAGCTTGAGCTGCCCCCCCCCATCCTCACCAAGGTGATGGGTTGAAGACTGCACACTTTTACACTTATGGAAAAAAACAGTTTCTGATTTAGTTTACAGTGGTTTAAATCCCATTCTGACCACGGACCATGTGACCACGGACCATGTGACCACGGACCATGTGACTCTATCTGTTCTGCATTTATCAGTTTTGTTGCACTATCTGTGTTGTTTGTTTTTCCTTGTTCTGTAAAATTAACTCCAAATGTTCCTAAAGTAATTCTTATATTTTGATATCACTCAGAAATTTATATCTGCTTTGCAATGATTTGACTGTTACTTTTGATAATATTTTTACGATTTGCAGGACAGTAGTAATATCATGTATTTAACAATATCTGCAATTGAAAAATAAATCAAAATGCAAATATCAAAAATGTCTGTCTGTAATAACATATCTTTTTAAATTATTTTCTAGGTATAAGTAGATTTAAATCAACAGGAGGGAAAATCAGAATCTTCCCAACAGCCAAACATCAAACAAACACAAATACAAATCATAACATAAATGACTGAAATGAATTTGAAAGTTTTAGTTGCTTTTTCTGCGCTTTCTGGCAGCTTTAAAATGACCACGTGATAACGGCTATTTATTTCTAGATAAATTCATTGTTATTATTAGTTTAAATTTTATTTTTTTCTAGTTCGATCTTTATGGAAACTTTTTGTTGACAATGGTTTCAGACCGTGTATCTTTACTGAAAAGGCGACTTTTCTCACGTATCTGGCAATGTTTTGCTCAGGCGTTCTACGTCAGTAAAAGTCGACGGTCGCTCGTAAAATGACGTATGCGACGTGTTTGCAGTAATGAAAATAAACGGCAATCACAAAGCTACATCAAAGCTGGAGACACTTCGGCTGTGATACCGGGGTCGATACGGGGACAGTGGTACCAGCGGAGCCCGGGCTGATACGGACGGGTTCGCCCAACCTCGTACGGGTGGGAAAGAGCCGAACTAACAACGAGGTAAGTTAGCAGCGCTAGCCGGTCTGGTCTGTGTAGCTGCGTGCTAACACACACTGTCTGTTCTCATGTGGATGTGGGCAGTTCCGGTCTGAGTGGTATTTCCAACCGCTTATATCACAGTATAACAACGAGGACAGTGGAGCGGAACACGGAGCAGCGACACAGAAAGCAGCACTTTAAAGACGTCACCAGTGAACTAAAGTGTAGCTTTCTGTTTAGCCACAGCGGTGCTAACGTGCAGCCTGACAGTTTCCTCATTTTGCTGCTGCTGCTGCCGCCGCCGCCGCCGACACTCGGCTCCGGCTGCAGGGAGAATGTGATGACAGTGGACGTGCTGCTGGGTGTTGGATGTTGTTGGATGTTGTTGGACGTTGTTACTGAAGGACGAGGTTTTAAACAAACGGATGTGATTGACGGTGGACCAGTGGACCAGTGGACTAGTGTTAGTGTTCACCTTGTCTATGGTTGTTGTTTGGATTTAGACTGTTGTGAACTACAGGTATTATTCATCTTTGACTAATATTGATTTGTACTTGTAGTTTTATATGGTTTATAAAAAATACTTTTTCATGTTAAAAACACACTGTGTCAACAAGCAGCAAAATAACGGAGACCTTGAGTATTTCTAACTTCTTTATACTTTCAACTAGTATTTTCCTGTTTTTTCTGCTTTTTATATAGTCAGGACTTCTGCCCCATCCTACCCACGATGCTTCATAACACCATTGGATGTTATTTCAAACACTTCCTCCACGGCTGCTGTCATTGAACAACAATCATATCAAATGACAAAGCGCTGCATATTTCCCCACAGTGGGGCAGATACACCCCCCTGCCCCCCCGCCCCCTCTTAATCTGCCAACTGGTTTTGTGTTTAAGTGAATTTAGCACTCAGGGCTTTGGCCTGGACCCTACAACGTATACGAACAACAACACTTTCCTAATTCCTCTTAATATGAACTCAAATATACATAAATATATGTACTTTAATGGTATGTCATTCTGACTGTATGTCATTCTGACTGGTCATTCTGACTTGTATGTCATTCTGACTGTATGTCATTCTGACTGTATGTCATTCTGACAGGACACACCATGGCCCTAGACTCTGCCAGTGTGGACTCCAAGGCGGAGCTGACGGCTCAGTTGGAGCAGTGGGAGAGGGACCAGCAGGGCAGCACTCAGGACCTGGTCAACATCCTGACAAAGTAAAGAAAAAAACAAAACAAGAAAAGTTGGTAATAATGTCAACGCGGCTGGTGTTGTGACGTTTGTTCATCATGTGCTGTGTATTTCAGAATTTCTGAACTTGTTGAGAAGGAGACGGAGGAGTACCACAAAGTGGACCCAGACCCTTTTGACGACCGACACCCTGGTACGAACTCAAGCCGCACAGTAAAATCAGGGTGAAGGTTTGAATGTCCTGCAGCTGTTTGATTTTCCCCTCTCGGCCACCAGGCAGAGCAGATCCTGAGTGTGTGTTGGGGCACCTGCTGAAGATCCTCTTCAAGAACGATGACTTCATGAACACAGTAAGAAGTGGGACAGAAGCCGGACCGGGTTCCTTTCATATACAGATGTTTTCAAAGGTTTTCCTTTTGCAGCTGGTGAACAGTTACGTGATGTCCAGCAGAGAGTTCTCCCTCAACGCAGCAGCGTGTCGTCTGCTCCAGAACATCATGCCCGGTCTGGAGACGGCAGTGGTCTTCCAAGAGAAGGTTTTTCTTCTTCTTTGTTTTCTCTTGTTAGGAAATGGCAAATTTGTACAGCACAGATGTACACGGATGTACATGGATGTACACGGATGTACACAGATGTACACAGATGTACACGGATGTACATGGATGTACACGGATGTACACGGATGTACACAGATGTACACGGATCGACTGGTGGTTTTACGTTTGTGTCGGTGTTGTCTCCCCGTACGATTGTTGTTGTTTCTGTTGTGTTTGTCAAAGGAGGGAATTGTTGAGCGACTCTTTAAATGGGCCCAGGAGGCCGAGCAGCCGCTCAGGATCTACGCCACCGGCCTGTTGGCTAGTGCCATGGAGAACCAGGACAACGCTGCCAACTACAGGGAGGAGAACTCAGTGTTGGTCAGTCACAGGTTCTGTTTATAAACCATTCAAGTCTAAGGTTCTGCTGGTACCAGGTGCAGCCCCCCCCCCCCCCCCCCCCCTCCTCTGACCTGGTTTCTGTATCTGACTGCGACAGGTTCCGTTGATGCTGCATCGGTTACGTGAACTTCAGGACAAGGACAGTGAGAACAGGAGGGACATGAAAAGGCCCAGCCCCAGGAAGGCCCCCCCGGAGCCCCTGTTACCGTTGGACGAAGAGGCCGTGGACGGAGGATTTGAAGAAAAGCCCTTCACGTCAGACAGAAAGGGAGCCCAGAGTGAAGCTGCAGGAGCAGAGACGGAGGGAAAAATCTCTTTTTCAACCATGGAGCCTGAAAACGAGTTCTCCTTTCGTCTGAGCTCCCCCCACAGGACCAGCAGGTTCTCCAACGCTGCTGTCAAAACCATGATGAAGCCCATGTCTGCTCCCACTTCACTGACGCCAGCGGCTTCTTCTGAGAGGGGCTGCTACGTGAACAGGAAGACGGAGAGGGAGTACGGCAGAACCTCCAGACAGAAACTCCATTTCTCTTTGCCAGAACCAGAGAGGAACTTCAGCGAACTTTCAAACAGCAGCTGGTCTGAGATGAGTCCCTGGGTGATCGGTAACAACTACCACCTCTACCCTGTCACTCCTGAGATCGAGCAGAGGCTCATCCTGCAGTACCTCACTCCTCTGGGGGAGTACCAGGAGGTTGGTTTACTACCAGTAGTCCGATTGATTTTCACACCGTGTCGTTACATCCATTTACACCAGGAGTTTTTTTTTTTTCTGCTTGTCTTTAACCTGGTTCATACGTCAGATGTTAGACCAACGTTTATGATTTTAAAAAAGAAAAAAGTTCTAAAGCAAGAAAAAAAAACAGATTGATAAAAACATTCTCCTTAGTCCGTCTGTGAAGATGATGAAAGGTTCAGTGTTCCTCACCCCCGTTCTCCTGCCTGTCCTCACCCCTGTCCTCAATCCCGTTCTCCTGCCTGTCCTCACCCCCGTCCTCACCCCTGCTCTCCTCCCCCCTCTTCTGTTTGCAGCTCTTGGCCGTCTTCATGCAGATGGGCGCTCGTGAGCTTCTCATGCACTACATGGATCTGAAACAGACCAATGACGTGCAGCTCACCTTTGAGGCTTTAAAGGTAAACGCCGTTGTTTAGTTCACAGAGACCCAAAGGTCGACCTCTTGACGACCTCTTGACCTTTTGTCTTTCTGCCCTAGTACCTGGCGTCTTTGCTGTTGCACAAAAAGTTTGCGGCAGAGTTTGTAGCTCATGGAGGTGTTCAGAAGCTGCTGGAAATACCCAGACCGTCGATGGCTGCCACCGGGGTGTCGCTGTGCCTTTACTACCTGGCCTATAACCAGGACGCCATGGAGAGGGTACGGAAACCGACTGAGACCGACTAAATCGTGGGTCGGTCGTGAACGGCCGACTCTGATCAGAACCACTCCTTCTTGTTTCTGCAGGTGTGCATGTTGCCTCATGCCGTCCTGTCCGACGTGGTGGCCTACACCCTGTGGCTGCTGGAGTGCTCTCATGCGTCCGGCTGCTGCCACGCCACCATGTTTTTTTCCATCTCTTTTTCTTTCCGTGCCATCCTGGAACTGTTCGACCGCCAGGACGGGCTGCGGCGCCTGGTCAACCTGGTACGATTCCCCGGCCCTGAGCCACGTGTTTGATAACATTAGCTGATTGTGACCTTTTTAATTAATCCAACGTTGAACCCGCCTCCAGATTAGCACACTGGAGATCCTGAACACTGAAGACCAGGGGGCGCTGCTGAGTGATGATGAGATTTTCTCCAGCAGGCAGACTGCCAAGCACACCTGCATGGCACTGCGCAGGTACTTTGAAGCCCACCTGGCCATCAAGGTAGAGCAGGTGAAGCAGTCCCTGCAGCGCACTGAAGGGGGCGTTCCCATTCACTCCCAACCCTACTACAAGGTGAGTCAGGAGGAGGAGTCCTGGAGTCACAGCAGGAGGCGGTCTTCCTGCCCTGACCCTCTGCCTCCATCTTGTTTCCCAGGCGGTCAGCTACACCCGTGAGCAGGTGGTGGAGATGATGGAGTTCCTGATAGAGTACGGACCTCTGCGGCTCTACTGGGAACCAGCCGAGGTCTTCTACAAGCTCTCCTGCGTCCAGCTCCTCCTCCAGCTGACGTCCATCGCCTGTGACTGGAGAACCTACTACGGCAGGTACAAAAACAGATCCAGACTCAGAGGGAGAGACGCAGAGGGGACAGGGGGGGGGGGGGGGGGGGGGGGGGGGGGGGGGGGAGTGTAGAGAGGTCAGAGGACGTGCAGATTAACAACAGTCTAGAAACCATACGATGATAAAGAACAATGAAGGCGTGACTCTAATTTGAATGTTGATTGGCTCCCCCTGCAGGAGTGACACGGTCCGTTACGCCCTGGACATCCTCAGTATCCTCACTGTGGTGCCCAAGACCCAGCTGCTGTTGTCTGAGGCCGTGGCCGTGCTGGACGAAGGAGGGTCCACCGTCTCCACAGTCGGTCAGTGTCCTGCGTCCTCAGCTGAAGACATAGTCCGCAGAAATCTGTCCACACGATACGTGTCACGATACGGCGGCTACCACACCATATATTGTGATGAATTGTGATACTCTAGTCACCCCCCCCCCCCACAAACACACACACACACACACCCCCAACCCCCAGTGTAGCTGTAGTCCCAGTGTGATCCTAGTCTCAGACTCTGGAACAGGAATATTGGACTGGTGTTTGGTGATAAACTGATGGAGGAGATTGATACGGGATCAGGAACAGAAAAATACTGCAGTATTTCAGTGTACTAGTGTCTTTGTAGTACGGTCCTAGCTTCTTGTGTTTCCTCCCAGGGATGAGTATAGTCCTGGCTGTGGCCGAGGGAGAAGTCTTTGTGAACGATGCTGAGATCCAGAAGTCGGCTCTGCAGGTCGTCATCAACTGCGTCTGTGCTCCAGACAAACGCATCTCCAGCATCGGCAAGTTTATTGCAGGAACGCCGCGGCGCCGCCTGCCCCAGCAGACCAAGGGCAGTGAGATCGTTCTCACCAGGATGTGGAATGTTGTGCAGTCCAACAATGGCATCAAGGTAGAGTGACCTCTGACCTCTAACAGCTCTTTGATGAACTCACTACTGAACCACACCACACTTCACGTCCCCCCCCTCCCTCTGTCCTCACCCCCAGGTCCTGCTGTCCCTCCTGACGGTGAAGATGCCCATCACTGATGCGGACCAGATCCGAGCTCTGGCCTGTAAGGCTCTGGTGGGTCTGTCCCGCTCCAGCACGGTCCGACAGATCATCAGCAAACTGCCGTTGTTCAGCAGCGGACACATCCAGCAGCTGATGAAGGAACCCGTGCTGCAGGACAAACGCAGCGAACACGTCAAGTTCTGCAAGTTTGCTGCCGAGCTGATCGAAAGGATTTCTGGGAAACCGCTGCTGATTGGTACAGACGTGTCTCTGGCGTGGCTGCAGCGGGCCAGTGTGGTGGCCCAGTCCAGGATCACCTTCCCAGAGAAGGAGCTGCTGCTGCTCATCAGGAACCACCTGGTGGCCAAAGGCCTCCATGACACGGCCTTCACCCTCACCAAAGAGGCGGAGCTCCCCATGACCTGTCAGTCTCACTCTTCACATTCAGCTTCTACCTTCCCCTCTGTCGTCCCCCCTCCTCCCACCTCCCCTGCTGCCGTTCTCCCCCCCACCCCCCGCCCCGGCCACGCCCACCGGCCC